ATGATTAGAAGGTTCAGGTGGTTTAGGTGCCCAATTTGCTGACAGAAATGCTACTTTATTTTATTCACTAATTCTGTTTTTGTTTTGTTTAATAGAATCAACTTGGTAAATTACTATGACTCCTTTGGTCAAAGAATCCTCCCAGAAACAGAAAAAGAAAAAGAAAAGAAATGTTTGCATTAAAAAATAAAATCAGTGGATAAATCAGACATAAAATTTAGAAAAATAATTCAGTGTGTCTTTCTATAAGTACAGCAATGCTCAGAAGGCGTGGAAGTAACCAGCACAGCAACATGGCCTACAAGTTTAACACGTCAAAGAGTCAAGAGAGAGTGGGATGGAGAGGCAGCTACTGCTCCCTGAGCAAGTGGGGGGACCAGTGTTCAGACCCCAGAAGCACGCAAAAGCCAGGCGGATGTGAGCTCCATCTGCAATCCCAGGACCCTGGGAGCAAAAGTAGGGTTCCCTGGACAAGCTGGGTGACAGGATAAGCTGGCTAAGTGGACTGCTCCAGTTTTAATAAGAGGCTCTGTCTCAGTAAACAAAAAGCACAGCATGACAGAGGAAGAGACACCCATGTGCATTCACATACAAGCAAACGCACACCAACAGGAACACACACGCACACACCAGCAGAGTCAAAAGGCAGACTTGGAAGAGGTCTGCAATACGGTGAAGCAGCCCGAAGCGTACTGCTGACAGTGACTAATAGGTACGGGTTACTAACAGCCCAAACTATTAATGAGAAAAAGACGGCCTGGTATGGGCAAAGGTCTGGGAAGCAGGTGGGTGTTTACTACCTGAAGTCCCATAGCAATCAGGTTGGTGCAAATCTCCTGTATCAAACACAGGGGGAGCTCTACCGGAGAGATGTAAGTACTAAAAGGCACTGTGTTCATTATCTGTGTTTGTACGATCGAGGGACCAACGTTTCATGTATTTCTGCAAATTTTGTAATCATCTATTAAGATGATTATAAACATATTCACTGCAACCAGGCTTGAGACTGTGTATGAACCGGTAAATGCCTGTTACATTTTTTAATTATAAAATAAATATAGTATAATCCCATTATTTTTGAAAATGTTAGTGTTTGTGTCTGTATTTCAACATTTCAAAACATCTAAAGTTAGCAAACAAACAAACAAAAAAACCAAAGCATTGCCTACCCTCAAGACTCTAGGAAGTGTCTCCTAGGTGATCTGAATTTCCCTCATGCTTTCCATATGTTCTTCAGTGTTGGTGACTAACGTGACAATTATTTCGTTACTATCACAAGTTAAAGTAACTTAGTTAAGGTTAAAGTTAGGTGTCTAATGTGTATCAGGGGACGAGGTATCCTCTTGCCCTTGCTTCATGAGTTGTGAGTGGGAGGACTCAGTGGAGGGAGGCTAAGTCTGAAAAGGTAAATATGGGTCCCACAATGGTGGCCATGTGGGCCCCAGGACAAGTGTCATATGGCCAGCCTGGCCATGAGGACTTTGTCCACTCCTGACAACTCCCATCTGACTTCCTCACTCCATTTCCTGTTACAAACTAATTTCCTCGTGAATTCCTAGTCTTCTAAGAGAAGTTAACTGTTGCCCAAGTCAAGGAGGTTATTAAAGAAAAAAAAAGTAGGCTCTGGTTCCCTTCTCGGTGGTTTCTGGAAAGATAAAGCACGAGGTCACTGGGATCCCAGGAAGAGCCCTGACAGAAGCCGAAGGGGCTTTCCATTGCCCACCAGTCCTCTCAACAGAAGACGATCATGCAGTTTTCAGGATTTCCCAGAAGACAGCTGTGCCGCTGAGTTCCTGTGAAACCACCTCTGCCCTCCTCTTCATTGCCTCAGACTACCGGGAATGCAGAAGTACAGCCGCATGTGTTCAAAGTGCTTCTCAACAAGCCACACTCCTTCTGAAACCATAATGAAGAATTGGCTCCCTAGGGCCCACAGAAAGAGGGAATGCACGCTCTGTGGTGGAGGACCACGCTGCAACGATGGCATGTCCTAGCTAACCTTTGCTTTCCTAAAGTTTTCAACAACTATCTGATCCATGTCCTGCTTACCAAGCCTGTGAGTCTCTCGGTGGGTCACATCTCTTGGAAAAGTGGCATGGGTAACAGGATTTCCTTTTTAAAGTCCATCATTTAAACCATGAGTCTTCAAGAATTGGGACATGGAGGACAATATTCCAGAATCTTTGGCCTCACGAGTTACTTATTACTACCCAGCAGATTTTTAGCTGAAATCATGAAGACGTATTTCGAAGAAAGAAAAAAAAAGATAACTTTTGAAAGAGAACAGCCGACATCAGCCATCTGAGAGGGGAGGAAGTTGGACACCTGTGCCTGCAGAGTCTTCCCTCTTGAGGGAGAAAGAGCCGGGGACCAGGGAGCCCGGGACCAGAGAACTCAGGACCAGCGAGCTTCAGAGCAGGCTCAAACAGAATAGGGATTTCTTCTGCAGATGGGTCAGAAAAGACTTCAGAGGGGAAGTCCAGGTGTCTGCAGAAGCAAGTGATCAGATGGGCACAGTCCACGCTGAACAGAATGCTCTATTCTGCTTTTTTAAAGTGTCCAGGGCTGGAGCAGAGGCACCAAGGGTAAAAGTGCTTGTTGCTACTCCAGAGGACGCGAGTATGGATCCTGGCTGTCACCTGTAACTCCAACTCCAGCTCCAAGAGATAAGCAGCCCCCTCATGCCCCCATGGGCACTTACACAACACACACACACACACACACACACACACACAGCATGTACACAGGCACATGTACACACAAACAAAAATAAGTATTAAAAAAATTACTTCTGGGAATGAAGTTACTTTTCTCCATATGAGACACACAGATGCTCTAAAGAGTCATTCCACTCCTCTGAAGTGATACTGAGAACCTAAACTCAAAGGCCCAACGGAACATGGCTCACTTTTGGTTTTAGCGCCAAGTTGGCTTTCTCTGGCAACTGTTTTTACTCACAAATCTTAGCCACAAGAAGCCACCTGGTTGTCAGCGTTTGTTTTTTCCACCACATTTAAAAAGCAGTCTTAATTTAGGCTCCATGTCACTGATGGGGGAGCCACTGGCCAGAGAGATTAGCTTCTCTTTGTGTGGCCCTGATTTTCAGTTCTGTGTTCCCCAGCTCTCCACTCAAAAGGTGTTCCAAGTCTTCTCCCTTTGTTGGCAGACTTCAGGGCTATGACTTTTTCATACACACACACACACACACACACACACACACACACACACACCTCAACCTCCTTTACAGAGAAGAACGTGAAAGCCTCAGTACCGGAGGCTACATGAGAGGTGCCCATTTAATAAACAGATCCCGGCTGTAGGACCTGGCTGTAGGACCTGGCTTAAGGAAGGCTGAGTGAGAACGGTGTGCTGTGGGTAGGGAGTCAGTTCGGGTGAACAAGTGCTCAACACATCTTGGGATGTAAAGAGGAAGATGAGCGAAAATCTTAGCAGCATCCAGACTCTACAAGGAAAACCTGTCAAACTGCCCCAGAGGTGTACTGTTGGCGTAGAATGTCTTGGGTACCGTGAGCAGCAGCACTTGGCAGTGCAGGGGCTCACAGCCCACTTCCAGAGAGAGCTGTAGCCCTGGTCCCTGTACACAAGATCGCGGGACTTGCATCCTGATATCCACGGGCCATGTCCCCGCCTCTCCCATCACCTTCCTTCTGTCCTCAGTTTACAGCAGCGCTGTCTTACTGCCCCACTCATACTGGACAGCCCGGCACCCGCCTGTGGTGTATTTCACACCCACAAGTCTTCAAACTCGGCTTCCACGAACATCAAGTCTGTATCCTTTAACCATGCATGCAGCTTGCGAAGACACAGGATATGTCAAAAACCAGTTAAGCCCTGAATGTAATGTGCCAGGAAAAAACGTCAAATAAAAATAAAACTAAAGGTTATGCATCGCACCCAACATGAACACTGGGAACCCATAAATCCGAAAGCATTTGTTCCTTAGTTTTTAGGACAGTGCCTTTAGGGATAAGACAGGAGAAGTTGCTCAACTTCTACCCATGTGGGCCGATTACAAATAAAGTCCACTACTTTCAGAGAGGTAGTCTGTGATTGTAAAACGTCAGTCACTTTGATGTGACATTCACAACCCATTACAGCTGTCAATGTGTGTATATCCATGTACGTGTACACGTGTGCACGCGTGTTGTGCACATGGGGACAACCTTGTGAGTCATTCTCAGGAACAACGCGGATCTCTTTTGAGACAGGGTATTCCACTGGTCTGGAGCCCAGAAACTGGGGTAGACTGGCTGGCCAGTGATCTTTGGGGGCCCTCCTGTCTCCTGTCTCTCCTGCAGTAGGTTTACAGGCGCTAAGTATTTTTACCTAGTTGTTACTGCTCCAACCCCGTCCTTGAACTCGCAGGGAACCGCCTTTCTAGCCCCACCAATGTAGTTCTTAAAATTCTAAATTGGACTTTCAAAGTTCTGGGAAATCTGTGCTACCCTTGCAGAAGATTCTCCACCCCGGAAAGCATCATAGACTAAGTAAATTCCCTTCTGACTCACTTTTCCTAGCTGGCCTTGAGAGCACCCTGCTGGGCTGCAAGGAGCTGCTCCTGGCTGCCTTAGAAAACTTTAACAGCCCACCACTATTTGTTTTAAGAGCAGCAAGCAGGAGCCAAAGGCCACTTTGTCCTCACCTCTCTGCTTGGCTCAACTGCGGGCCCGCAGAAGTTTAAGCACATAGGAGGGGCCCCTTGGCAGGCAGAGCCATCTGGCTTGGCTGAACGCTTTTTCATAGAGCTGGGGAAACCAGGGTTGACCACACCGAAACCCTCCCACCTAAGAAAAGGCCTGTTTGTTCCGGAAGGTAAATCCGGTCTTATTTAACTAAGTGCATGCAGTTAGCGTGGGCCTGCCCAAGATAGCAAGAAGGCTCCTGTGGAGCCAATCTGGATCTTTCAGAGTCCTGTCTCCAGAAAAAGCCTCAGCCGGACTTTAACCTGAAAACATCTTATCTCTCTCCGGGTCCCTTACCTGGGAAAACCGTCAGATTGTAGGGCCAGCCTTCTTTCCGCCTTTGGAACTTTCCAGGGCTCCAGGGTCTAGAAGGAGCTGGAAAGGGGATTCACTGCTCGCCCATTTCCTGCCCTGTGTACAGCAGCCCCCAAATGGAAGCCTGGGGGCATCCAAGGCCTTTTACCCTTCCAGCCAGCGCTCTGATTTCAGCCCCAGGCCCCGCGGGGGCGGCAGTGAGAGCGTGGCCCTGTTCTCCCGCCACGCCCCCGCGTCTCTGCGTCCCCAACCGCAGCCGCAGCCTTCCTAGGCGACCCCGGGCGCTGCTCCGCCGGCGTGGCCAAGGACTTGATCTACGTGGCCACTAGCCGGAGGCAGGAGCCAGGTGTGGGAGCAGGGACAGCACAGCACAGCGCGGCTGGGGCAGTCCCGGAAGGAGATGACGCTGGAATCAAGGAGGCCACAGGACGTGGCGTCCCAGAAGAGTACGCACCTGAGACCGGGGTCCCTGGCCGGGTCCGGGGCGCGGTTCCACGCAGGCAGGTCCAGCGCCTCGTCGCCTCCGGGCATGGCGCGATCGCCACCGACGTGCGGGACTCCCGCACTGCCCGGTTCCGCCTGACCTCCACCTGGCTCCGCCTGCGGGTGTCTGCGGGAGGCAGGAGGAGCATCCGCCCTTATAAAGGGAAGTCACCCAGGGAGCCGGCTGCGAGGCCGCGTGTTGTCCACCCCGCCCTCGGCCGCCCCGCCCTCCCCGCCTTCGGCCACCCGGGCTACCCCCATCCCTTCCTCCCAGAGTGGTGTTTGACCCCTTCAGACGCTCACTGCATTGCTTTTGAGCTCGCTGTGTGGCCCGGACTCGCCTCGAACTCAAAGCAATCCTTCTGCCTCGGCCTCCCGAGTACTAGGATTACAAACACGCGCCACCAATGCCCAGGCTTGCCCGCTTCCTTGGCTCGTTCTGCTCGGCCTTGTCAAGGGCCCGGACTGTGCTCTTTGGGAGTAGTAATCTGCAGTCCCTCTGCCTAGGAATCAGCAAGTTCGTGGGGATGGGCTTCTTCATTACCGCGTCTTGATTCTGATGATTCCCGGACACGGACTGGGATGTCGGGCAAGCACGTGAAATGCAAAGAGCCAGGTGCCCGGCTCCTGAGCGGACAGACCTTCTGCAGCCGCAGTCTCCTGATTCCGGGTAAGCCCAGAGCCGCAGACCCCAGCGGTCGCCCTGTCTTTCCGCACGGCTGCCTGAAACCAGGAGCTTCAAGACGATGGCGATGGCTCGCCTCTGTTCTACAGACTACAGAGCTCCACCTGAAGCTGCCAGGACAATTTGGACAGAACCGGCCCAGACCTTCCTGACTTCACCAGGAGCATCACGGAACAAAACCCCTACATTTCCGGGCTATGAGTATCAGTATAAGTTCAAAAGGTCCCCAGGGTTAGCTAGGGCAAAGGACAGTTTGCAGAAGATTGTGTAAAAACAGCTGGTCGGAAAGGCAGGTGCAGAAACGTTATTGGCCCCTTTTTGTAGGAGATTGTTGTTGTTTGTTTGGTTGGTTATTTTGCTTTTGTTTTTAATTTAGAGACAGCCTCGTGTAACCTGCCCGGGCGAGCCTCCAACTTGATCCTTCTGATGGTGTTAAGGAATCTTCCACCCTCATCCCGCCCCTCCCCACCCCCACAGAATCTACCCTCGTTTAAAAGTCACTACCCAAGGACTACTAGGTAAAAATAGCACTCCCCCCCCGTCCTTATTTTTTTCTTTCAGAATCCCTCTTAGCGGAAGTGCCCGCTGGGTACAGAGAGCCTGGGGAGTCTGTCTGAGAAGTCACAGCGCCCACCATTCCAGCATGCTCAGGATTCTGTACACTGCCCCCTCCCGAAGTGGATGGATGGCGCCAGCGAGACAGCTAAGGAAGAAAAGGTGCTCAGTCTGACCCCAGGATGGACAGAGACAGCAAGCTGTCCTCCGCTCTCCGCATCGGCAGTGCCTGTGTGGTGGCCCTCTGCACACCGCGAAATAAATACGGCTTTTTTTAAGGGAGTGGGGAAGGGAGACAGGGGATGGAGGACTAGGTCAGAGAAGTTTGTTATTTCTCCAAAGTCATCCTCATTATCACTCGATGCACCCACTGACAGACACATCGTTAAAACTGCTGCTGGTGTTCTGTAGCTTTCCTAATCGGAGTGAGGGTCTCTAAACAGGTTCCCACCTATGGAAGTCTAGAAACAAGTTTCTCCGGTGGAGAAAACATGCGTTTACCTAAATAGCTGTAAGAGAGACATCTATCCAGGCATGCCTTCCCAGCCATTTCTAGAAGACAGGACCTCACAACCGACTGTCTGGCATTCAGGTTCTTTCTGCCCCCTCTTCCAAGATCTTCCCTGAGCAGTCAGTGCAGGAGTATCCAATGCTAAATGGTCAGCCCTGAAATCATCTGTACAAAAGCTGTACTAACAAGAATTCAACCAGACATAGGCTGAGACGTGATAAGCAAAAGGAGATCGTCAATTTTAGAGGGAATGAGGAGGAACATGGGGGACATTGGAGGAGAAACCAAAAAAAGTGATGTTATTATTTAAATTTTAAATTAATTAATTTTTAAAAATGAAATTTAAAGATGTGTTTATCTAAACAGCTGTAATCAATGAATCTTGTATCATGAATAAGTATAAAGGTATGAATTTAAAAACATGGTTGGGAGTGGAGCACTATGTCCCTGTAATCCCGGCCCTTGGAAGGCTGAAGCAGGAGAATTACAACAGGTTTGAGAACAGCCTGGATTATACCGTGAGTACAGGCCAGCCCGGGCTATATAGCACCACACTATCTCAAAATTTAATAAAAAACAAGTATAAGAAATATAACCAGCAGGCAAATCCTTTTCTTAAAAAAATTTCATTTTATTTTTATTTATTTACGTATACCTGTGTGTGCATGCGTGAGAATGTGTACCCGAGTGCAGAAGAGGGTGTCAGATCCCCTGGGGCAAGAGTTACAGGGAGTTTTGAGCCTTTATAATGTGGGGAGCTGGGAACGGAACTCGGATCCTCAGGAAGAGCAGCAGGTCTCTGATCTGTTGAACCCTCTCTCCAGTCCTGCAAAATCTCAGGGAACACTGGAGAGGAGAAGCTTCCCAGCGGAGGGCGCTGGGTCTCAGGCCTGGTCCGCAGGACTCCAGGCTCACCCACTGGGGGCTGGGTCTCAGTCTTTGCCTGCAGGTGACTCCAGGCTGTCTGACTGGGATCAGGCAGTGCTCTGTATCCCCAATGGGAAGATGCTACTCATTCAGTCAGTTTAAATGTGCTGCTCTGAAAGTAGCAAGCACCCCCAAACCACTTAACCTAGAGAAGCTGTGGGAAGAGGAGAGGAGGGGAGAGGGGGGGAGGGAGGAGGGGAGAGAATCAGATGGCTGGAGGGTTTGGCTACCAGGTTCACTGAGAGACACCAATTGTCCCTTTGCAGGCACACAGTCACTCTCAATGGTTAACCAATGTCGCTTGTTTACAGTGAAGATCCGGACTCCTTTCTCAGTAGGTGACCTCAGGCATTGCTTTGTGCTATGTGTTGGACATTCCAATCTCGGGTTTCTGCTCTGCATTCCACACTTCAAAGCTTGTACCTTGAGTCAGCTTTGTGACCAAACAATACAAGAATCTTTTGTTCTGGTGGTGGGATTGTGGGCTGGCAATGCCCTGCTCCATGTCTACAATCCATATATGAGTGAGTACATACCATGCTTGTCTTTCTGTGACTGCGTTACCTCACTCAGGATGGTTTCTTCTAGTGCCATCAATTTGCCTGCAAATTTCAAGATTCCATTGTTTTTCTGCTGAGTAGTACTCCACTGTGTAGATGTACCACATTTCTCTATCCACTCTTCATTGAAGTGCGGCATCTAGGTTCTTTCCAGGTTCTGGCTATTACAAATAATGCTGCTATGAACATAGTTGAACAGATGCCCTTATTGTATGAGGGTATATGCCTAAGAGTGGAATTGCTGCATCTTGTGGTAGACTGATTGCCATTTTCCTGAGGAATCTCCATACTGATTTCCAAAGTGGCTGAACCAGTTGGCACTCCCACCAGCAATGGAGGAGTGTACCCCTTTCTTCACATCCTCTCCAGCATAAACTGTCATTAGTGTTTTTGATTTTAGCCATTCTGACAGGAGTGAGATGGTATCTCAGAGTTGTTTTGATTTGCATTTCCCGGATGGCTAAGGATGTTGAGCACTTTCTCAAGTGTCTCTTGGCCATTTTGGACTCCTCTATTGAGAATTCTCTGTTTAGTTCTGTATCCCATTTTTTAATTGGATCCTTTGGTGTTCTGGAGACTTGCTTCTTGAGTTCTTTGTAAATTTTGGAGATCAGCCCTCTGTCAGATGTGGGGTTTGTGCATATCTTTTCCCATTCTGTGGGCTGCCTTTTTGTCTTGTTGACTGTGTTCTTTGCCATGCAGAAGCTCCTCAGTTTCAGGAGGTCACATTTATTAATTGTGGATCTCCGTGTCTATGCTACTGGTATTATGTTCAGGAAACATCTCCTGAACCAATTCATTCAAGGGTACTTTCCATTTTCTCCTCTAAGAGATTCAGTGTGGCTAGATTGATGTTGAGTTCTTTGATCCATTTGACTTAAGTTTTGTGCATGACAATAGACATGGTCTATCCTCATTCTTCTACATGCCAGCATCCAGTTACTCCAGCTTTCTTTTTTCCATTGTATATTTTTAGCTTCTTTGTCAAAGATCAGGTGTTCAAAGGTGTGTGGGTTGATATCAGGGTCTTCGATTCAATTCCATTGGTCTACCTGTCTGCTTTTGTGCCAATACCAAGCTGTTTTCAGGACTATAGCTCTATAATAGAGCTTGAAGTCAGGGATGGTGATGCCTCCAAAAGTTCCTTTATTGTACAGAGTTGCCTTGGCTATCCTGGGTCTTTTATTTTTCCATATAAAGTTGAGGATTGTCCTTTCAAGGTCAGTGAAAAATTGTGCTGGTATTTTGATAGCAATAGCAATCTGTGGATTGCTTTTGGTAAGATTGCCATTTTTACTACCTTGATCCTACCTATCCAAGAGCATGGGAGCTCTTTCCATTTTCTGGTATCTTCTTTAATTTTTTTCTTTAAAGACTCAAAGTTCTTGTTATATCAGTCTTTCACCTGTTTGGTTAGCGTTACCCCAAGGTATTTTATGTTGTTTGTGGCAGTTATAAGGGGTGATGTTTCTCTGATTTCTTTCTCAGCCCACTTATCATCTGTATGTAGTAGGGCTACTGATCTTTTTTTAGTTAATTTTGTATCCTGCCACTTTGCTGAAGGTGTTTATCAGCTGTAGGAGTTCCCTGGTAGAATTCTTTGGGTCGCTTACATAGACTATCATATCGTTAGCAAATAGTGAAAGTTTGACCTCTTCCTTTCCAATTTGTATCCCCTTGATCTCCTTTTGTTGTTTTATTGCTCTAGCTAGCACATCGAGTACAATATTGAAGAGATATGGAGAGAGTGACATCCTTTTCTTGTTCCTGATTTTAGAGGAATCACCTTTAGTTTCTCTCCATTTAGTTTGATGCTGGCTGTTGGTTTGCTGTATATAACTTTTATTATGTTTAGGTATGTTCCTGTTATCCCTGATCTCTCCAAGACCTTTATCATGAAGGGGTGTTGGATTTTGTCAAATGCTTTTTCAGCATCTAGTGAGATGATCATGTGGTTTTTCCTTTTCAGATTGTTTATATGGTGGATTACATTGATGGATTTTCGTATGTTGAACCATCCCTGCATCCCTGGGATGAAGTCTACTTGATCGTGGTGTATGATTTTTCTGATGTGTTCTTGGATTCAATTTGCCAGTAATTTATTGAGTATTTTTGCATAAATGTTCATGAGGGAAATTGGTCTGTAATTGAGATATGCATGGTAACCCAGAGAAGGGTTATGGGATGAGATCTCCTAATTGGATTGGGGGAAAAAGGGGAGGGCAGAAGGAGATAGGAGAGAGGGAGAAAAGAGGAGGGGAGAGGAGGACATGGGAGAGCAGGAAGGTTGAGCCAGGGTAAGAATAGAGGAGAAAAGGATGGGAGATACCATAAAAGAGGGAGCCAGTATAAGTTGGAGGAGAGATCTGGCACTAGTGAGATCTTCCCAGATCTATAAGAATGACACCAACTGGCATTAAGGCTACCTTAAATGCTCTCCCATGATAATGAGAATGATGACTACCTTATATGCCATCCTAGAACTCTCATCTAATGGCTGATGGAGGCAGAGGCAGACACCCACAGCTGTGAAGCAAATTGAACTCCTGGAACCCAGTTACAAAGAGGAGTGATGACCAAAGGAATCAAGATCAGGGTGGCAAAACCCACAGAGGCAGCTGACCTAAACAAGAGGGAACACATGGACCCCAGACTGATGACTGAGGGGCCAGCATGGGACTGATCCAGACACCCTCCCACCCAACCTGGGTGACAGAGAGGAGGCCTTCACAATCTGTGGGACCTTGGAGAGTAGAGCAGTATTTATTCCTGGCATACAGAAGGACTCTGGGAACCCATACCACATGGAGGGATTCTCTCTCAGCCTGGACACATGGGGAAGAACCTAGGCCTTCCCAGGATGATGTGTCAGACTCTGAAAACCCTTCATGGAAGCCCTTGCCCTCCCTGGGGAGCAGAGGGGGATGGGGTGAGGATGAGGAGTTGGGAGGATTGGGGGTGGGGGAGGAGGGAAGAGAGAGGGAGCTGAGAGTGATATATGTAAAAAGTTAAATTTAAAAAATGAAGAAAAAAAAGAGAATCTTTTGTTCAACCTTGTACTATGTATCAGACAACTTTTCAGGTTTCCCAGTCACAGTCATGAATTTCTCTACTGGGTTTCCTTCTTAGGACAATTTCATAGATTTACTGGTAAAGGGGATTTTTTTTTAAGTCCTCTAGAAAATGTGAGCCAGGGTAATGGTAGACCAGCAATAATTCTATAAAACAGGCAGTCCAAAGCAATATCTACTGGGAAGTTGATGTGGAGACAGAGCACAATAAAGTAACAAGGAAATGTCCCCTTTGTTTATGTGTCGCTGTGCGAGAAGTAGGCTTTGAACTTGTAGATGTTAATCTTTTGCTGGTTTTAAACGCTGTAAATACATTATTTGGTCCTTGATCTCTGAACTGGGTCCTCCTTGGCCTGAGTCTTTCCTTCTGCCGTTGGAAATTCACCGTGATGCCTATCTTTATGACCTGAGTGCTTCTGGTGTCGGAAGTAAGGTTACTCCGGAGGGCCACAGGAATTCTGTTTCTTCCATAGGCGCTCGATTTTATCTGCCATATCAAATTCCCTGTGCTTCAGCTTTCACAAGTGGTAGGAGGTAAGGGTAGCTCAGCTACTCTGCAGAGAGTAGCCCAGCTCAGCAAAGACAGCCTGTGACCCTGGGTTGGTGGCCTTTCTCTCAGGAGAAGGGCAGTGCTCTGGGCTCTGTGGATCAATCGCACTGGCTCTATCTAACTAATGCGTGATACGGATACTGGCACAGACAAGGGGGAAACAAGAAAGGGTGTTGTTTCTCCAGCCCTGGAAATATCACTATGTTTTTAAAAACAGACTTTGTTTCTCAGAGCAGATATAGGCTCAAAGTGAAAGCCCAGAGGCCTCCTATATGTCCCCTGCCTCCCCCACAATCAACCCCCCACACCAGAGTCTCCCAGTCACTGGGCTGCAGATCAGATAACTCACTCTCACTGGCAGTGGATCTGCTCACACCTCGACTTTGACCATTCCAGATCCCCAAACTGTGAAAACTGACTATTTATTGTTGGGTTTAACCTACTGGATCTATACTACTGTGTTATAGAAGCCAGAACTAACTGATAACACTTTGTGTACCATGTACTAATTCTCCCATCTCCTGTAACCCCTAGGAATGATGGATCTTTCTACTGTCTCTGTTTTTCCTTTTCTAGAATTCCATATGGTTAGAATCTAATAGTATGTAAAATTTTCAGATTGACTTCTTTCACTTCATAATATGGACTTAAAGGTCTTCCATGTCTTTTAATTACCTGCTAGCTCACTACTTTTTAGCACTGAATAATTCTATTGAATGGACATACCACAGAATATTTATCCATTCACTTCCTCAAGGGTATCTTGATTGCCTTGGTACCCAAGCCACACAAAGACAAAAAATAGAAAACTACAGACCAATATCCCTCATGAACATTGATGCAAAACTACTCAATAAAATACTGACAAATTGAATCCAAGAACACATCAGAAAAATCATCCACCATGATGAAGTAGGTTTCATCCCAGGGATGCAGGGATGGTTGAACATACAAAAATCCATCAATGTAATGCACCATATAATCAAACTGAAAAAGAAAAATCACATGATAATCTCACTAGATGCTGAAAACGCCTTTGACAAAATCCAACACCCCTTCATGATAAACGTTTTGGGGAGATCAGGGATAACAGGAACATAACTAGACATAATGAAAGCAGTATACAGCAAACCAAAAGCCAATGTCAAATTAATGGACAGAAACTCAACACAATTCCTCTAAAATCAGGAACAAGACAAGGCTGTCCACTCTCTCCCTACCTCTTCAACATTGTACTTGAAGTTCTAGCTAGAGCAATAAAACAACAAAAGGAGATCAAGGGGATACAAATCAGAAAGGAAGAAGTCAAATTTTCACTATTTGCAGATAAAATGATAGTTTACATAAGTGACCTGAAAAATTCTACCAGGGAACTCCTACAGCTAACAAACACCTTCAGCAAAGTAGCAGGATACAAGATCAACTCAAAAAAAAATCAGTAGCCCTACTACATACAGATGATAAATGGGCTGAGAAAGAAATCAGAGAAACATCACCCCTTATAACTGCCACAAACAACATAAAATACCTTGGGTTAACACTAACCAAACAAATGAAAGACCTATATAACAAGAACTTTGAGTCTTTAAAGAAAGAAATTAAAGAAGATACCAGAAGAGGAGGAGAGAGGAGGACTTGAAAGAGCAAGAAGATTGAGTCAGGGGAAGAATAGAGGACAGCAAGGAAAGAAATTCCATAATAGAGGGAGCCATTATAGGTTTAAAGAGAAATCTGGCACTAGGGAAATTTCCAGAGATCTACTAGAATGACCCCAACTAATAATCTAGCAATAGTGGAGAGGCTACCTTAAATGCTCTTCCCCGACAATGAGATGGATGACTACCTTATATGCCATCCTAGAGCCTTCATCTAGTAGCTGATGGAAACTGAAACACATAGCTAAACACTGAGCCAAAAGGAGGAGTGATGAGCAAAAGGGTCAAGACCAGGCTGGAGAAACCCACAGAGACAGCTGACCTGAACAAGGGGGAGTTCATGGACCCCAGACTGATAAACCAGCATAGGACTGTTCCAGACCCCCTGAATGTAGATGTCAGTTTGGAGGTCTGGGCAATCTATGGGGCCTCTGGTAGTGGATCAGTGTTCATCCCCAGTACAAGAATGGACTTTGGGAGCCCACATAGAGAGATACTCTCTCAGCCTAGACGGGGGGGGGGGGCGCTAGAACCTACTCCAAATGACATGAAAGACTTTGAAGATCCCTCATGGAAGGGTTCATCCTCCCTGGGCAGCAGAAAGGGGATGGGATAGGGGTCAGTGGGGGACAGGGGAGGAGGGGAGGGAGAGGGAACTGGGATTGACATGCAAAACAAGCGTGTTTCTAATTTAAATTTAAAAAAGGGGAAAAAGAGTATCTTGGTTGCTTGCATGTGTTATAAATTTTGAAGACAGCCTCTATAAGCATCTACATGAACATTGCTTTTCCTTGTCGTTTAATGTGAGAGTGTTTCCAGATCTTTCAAACACTGAGCAGTGCCAGGACTGCTAGAGTGTGTACCATGGAAATATCTTTTTTGTAAGAAACCTCCCACATTCCAAACTAGCCATAATATTCTGAGTCGTCCTCGGTAACAAACAAGATTGTCACTTCTGTCACAAACTGTAATATTCTGAGTCGTCCTCGGTAACAAACAAGATTGTCACTTCTGTCACAAACTAACTATAATATTCTGAGTCGTCCTCGGTAACAGACAAGATTGTCACTTCTGTCACAAACTAACTATAATATTCTGAGTCGTCCTCGGTAACAGACAAGATTGTCACTTCTGTCACAAACTATAATATTCTGAGTCATCCTCGGTAACAGACAAGATTGTCACTTCACATCCTCACCAGCATTTGGGATTTTCAGTGTTTTGAATTTTGACTATTATAACGGTATGCAGTAGTTGATTTCATTTGCAGCTCCCTAGTGGTTTGAGAGGTTGACTATCCGTCACATGTTGTTTGTCACTGTATGTCATCTTCAATAAGGCGTTTTTCCTGTTACTATATCCACTTTAAATGGGTAGTCTTATTGCTGAATTTTGAGTTCTTTGTATATTATGTTTGAGTATCATTAGCTCTGTTTTATTTTTCAAGTGTTTTCTTTTATTCATCTCTTTCTCTTGGAATCCTTTGCAAAGCATATACTTCTGCTTTAAAGGACTGTTGATGGTTCATTTATTTAATAAATATTGCCTTATTCAAACCCTCAATTCCTTACCTAGATGTGCTGTCATGAGCCTTTTATCCCAGTCCTTGGGAGGCATAGACAGACATTGCTCTGGGAGTTTGAGGCCAGTCTGTTTGCATATCAAGTTCCAGGCAACCAGGCCCTACAGATGTAGTTGGAGTTTGTCTCTAAAATGAAATAAAAAAAGAAGAAATGAAGAAAGA